CTTGAAAGAGTATTTATTTCTGTTCCAATTAGTGGAAATTATTAAAGATTCTGAAGGATTATCTTGAAACCATAAATAGGGAAACTGTATGATTTGGTCAGCATATCTAATACTATTACAACATTTTATAAAGTTGGTAATTATTGTAAATAGATTTATTGGTTTTCAAAAATTATTTTTCGGGCGTTTAAAAATAGATTAAGGAAGAAAATATTGTTAAGAAGTAGATAAATTGAAATTATAAAATAGATTTCAATTGTAATTATGAGTAAAGGTTTTTCAAAACATCAGAACAAATTTCAGAAGAAGACAACACTATTATAAACCAAATTCTAAATTTAGTCAGATTATAAAAAAAAAAATATTTAGGCCACAATATGATATCGAATCCATAAAAATATTATTTATAATGTATTTGATTGTAATAATTTCACTGTTATGATGATTGTAAATAGGTTTCCAAAAGACAGCTTCCTTTAGATTTAAAGAATGAACGTAAATCATATCCTTTATAATCTCTAAATTCCCCTTTCAGGATCATGGCTCCTTATGCTTCTAAATTGGGATTTTAGGTAATTGTTAATATTGTAATATTTTAGGTAGCTAAAGAATATTGTAAAAAAAATTACCAATTTCTAAAATACCATTATTTGTTAAATTCGAAGCTTAAAATTAGGCTAAAATATCTTTATAACAATTATTTGAAGATAAGATTTCTTATCCTATCTTAACATCCCATAAACGGATAGAATTATTTTCATTACTAGATGCTAATGTAATACCACCAGCTGAGTAACAAATTGAATAAACATCACATGAATGACCATCTAATTTGGCTTTTTGTTATCCTGTCTTAACATCCCATAAACGGATAGACTTATCATCACTACCAGACGCTAATGTAGTACCATCAGGAGAGTAACAAATTGAATTAACTGCATATTAATGACCATCTAATTTGGCTTTTTGTTATCCTGTCTTAACATCCCATAAACGAAATAGACTTATCATCACTACCAGACGCTAATGTAGTACCATCAGGAGAGTAACAAATTGATAAAACTGCATATTAATGACAATCTAATTTGGCTTTTTGTTATCCTGTCTTAACATCCCATAAACGGATGGACTTATCATAACTACCAAATGCTAATGTAGTACCATCAGGAGAGTAACAAACTGAAAAAACAGCACTTGAATGACCATCTAATTTGGCATGTTATTCTCCTGTTTTAACATCCCATAAATAGATAGACTTATCTAAACTACCAGATGCTAATGTAGTACCATCAGGAGAGTAACAAATTGAATTAACT